GGAGAAACTCAGCAGGTCTGGCAGCTTCTGTGGGGAGAGAAAGCAGAGTTAAAGTTTCAAATCTGGTGGCTCTTTGTTAGCAGTTAGCTCTGCTTTCTCTCCCCACAGATGTTGCCAGACCTGCTGCATTTCTCCGGTAATTTCTTTTTTTTTTGTTTCAGGTCTCCAGCATCCTCAGTTTATTTTATTTTACTTTATTCTTGTAGAATCTCTGCAATTAGCTTTTGCCGACTCCCAGAGCAAGAAAGCCTAAAATTAACCTGGGCTCCACTTACTGCTTCCTGATCTCACCCCTGTCAACCACTGACCCCTGCTGGAAAGCTGATGCAAGTGTCCCTACTGAGTCATAAAGGAAAACACTGCGGACACTGGAAATCAGAAATAAAAATGGAAAGTGCTGGAGAAAGCCAGAGGGTCACTTGCGGACGGGGAAATCGAGTTAATATTTTGAGTCTAATGCGATTTAGGCTTCAGTGTGTTCACTGTGTTTCTCTCTCCTCCAGATGCGACCAGACCTGCTGAGTTTTTCAAGTACACTCTGCCCTTATTGAGAGACTAGCACCAAGTTATCAGAATACTGACTGCTGGTCGAATGTACTCCCCACACTCACTGAGTGAGATGTTGTCACTGGTAGATCAGGACCCTTGGCAAAATACAGCAGCATCAGCTGAAGTGGGGATGGGGGGGCGGGGGAGACGGGGGAGAGGAGATTTATGGAATTCGGGGAATTTAACTCCCTAACTTTTCTCGTTCCTTTTATAGAATTGAAAATCCCTGACAATGCGAATGTATTTTATGCTATGAATTCGTCCGTCAACTATGACTTTATGCTGAAGAAAAGGGGCCACCCAAAAGCAGGTAAAACAAAGCATGTTTCCAGTTCGACTCTCCCCAGAATGAAGCAAAAGGGACTGAAGATTACAAAAAGTATCTTCTGATTCCTCTGAGCTGGGCTGACTCCTTGTGTTTGCTGGATTTGCTGAAACTTTATATATAAGAAAAAGAATCAGTGTTACAATTAAATGTGCAATATTGTCTCTGACTGTGACTACTGGAAATGTCAAAGTATAGGCACTTATTCAGTTTTATTGAAGACATGGAAAGGCACTACACTAAAATGGACTGGGTTTGACTGGGATCTCTCTGTAATGAGTGGTTCCATCATTTGCTAGAAAGGATGAGAGAATGGTTACATATCCAGTTAAGTCACTTTGAACAGACTGGTGACCATGGACTGGTGATGTGAGTGTGAGAGGATTATATGCCTGATGGAGGGATAAGTTCCAGGAACACTGGCTCTCCAATGAAGACAGGAACCATTACCCCTCAAAGCCTGCAAAGTGCATTGGTTTGTCCAGAGGTTATTGAAGTGGATATAGAATGCTGAACCTGTCGTTGTAACATAGAAACTTTGTTATGCCCCAACTCCTAGCTCTGGAGGTGACTCATCTATTACCTGGTCTTGTACAGTAACTTGCCCTGAAATTCTGAGGAGAGAGAAGACAATGACTTCAACCAGGTGTGAGAATCCTTACAACCATGTCTCTGAGTCCTGCTATGAAGAGCCCTCCACCTTAAAAGTTATCTGATTTCAACGGGACCCCATCTTCATCCACATTGAAGAGGACACACAGCTAGCAGTGGATTTGTCATTGTGTGGAAATGAGAACTTTAACCTGGGACGTAAGACTAATGTTCTCTTGGCCTGATGTTGCCATTCAGACCATAGACTGGAAGACATCTGCAATAAGATTGTCAAATGAAAGAGGTCAAACTGGCCAATGAATGATGGCCAACCCTCAATGATTCATTACTACATTTTTAACAAAGGGTCAGTTCTTGTTGAGTAGCTCAGGAGCCTGGATGGGGATCAGAATTGACAAAATTGTACAGTTAAAATCCGAGCCGATATGGAAAACCTTAGTTCTTTTTCTTAAATTACAAAGAAATAGGACTCCATTTCAAATGAACTGTGCTGACTTTTTTTTTAAAAAAGTTTGTTTTGTAAAAACAATTGAATCTTTTTTGGGACAATATTTATTCATTGTACAGACATTAAATTCTTGTGTGGAATTGTAAATTTCTTACTGTTGAATATTATTTAATATATTAACTTGTTACCGATACTTGTGATTATCTTGCTGTTCGCTCATTGGGTCTTGTCCGGTGAAAATGTGATGTCTTTGTTACTTTTCTTTTGTATCATGTAAAAAGAGGGATGATTATGAACAGAACTTCAAACAAGTCATTTACCTTTAGTGCTTTATCTGTGCTTCTAGTGAATGTATTTAGCCAGCTTCTAGTTACATGACCCTGGGTTTTGTCAACATGTTCTCCTGTAAGGCTGAGATAACGTACATGGACTTCCAAAAGGTGTTTGATTAAAGTGCCAGACAATGGAACTGGGAGCAGAAAACAGACCGCATGGAATACAAGGGACAGTAACATCATGGATACAACATGGTCGCAATGGTGAATAGTTGGGTTTTCTTTTTTCAGGCTGGAAGGAAGGTTTATGGTGGAGTTCTCTGTTGATGGTCTTCCTAGGACCTGCTGCTGCTCCTGTTAATATATTAACGATTCAGGACCTGGCGTCCAGAGCACAATATCAAAATGCGCAGAAGTTAGAAACCTGGAAAGAGGGTAACATAGAAGTTCAAAAATTGACAAGTTGGTCCAAAGATTTGCAGGTTAGGGTGGATTGGCCATGCTAAATTGTCCCATCGTGTCCAGGGATGTGCAGGCAAGGTAGGTTAGCCATGGGAAATGTGGAGTTACAGGGATAAAGTATGGAGGTGACTCTGGGTGAGATACTCTTCAGAGGGTCAGTGTGGACGCAATGGGCCGAATGGCCTGCTTCCACACTGTAGGGATTTGATGGTGGAATGGGCAGAAATGTGGCAGATGACATTTAACGTGAAAAACTGAAGTGATTTAGTTGGTAGGTGAATTGCAGAAAGAAAATATAAAATTTAAGGATGCAACTCTGAAAGGGGTGCAGGAGCAGTAGGACTTGGGTATATATGTACCCAAACCATGGGAGGTTTGGGTAGGTGAGGTTGGGTAGCAGGTAGGGTTGAGAAAGTGGTTGATCAAGCACACAGTGCCCTAGGCTTTATTAACAGGGGCAGAGAGTGATCAAGCAAAGATGTGATGTTAAACCACAGGATTGGCCATGGTTGGAGAACACACCCTGTTCTGGGTACCATGTTTTAGGAACGACGTGAAACCATTCTAGACAGGTTGCAGAAGAGATCTGATAGGGCCGCCCCAGGGATGAGAAGCTTCACTTGTAGGGTTTGCAGAAGTTGGGACTGTTCTCTGTTGGAGAAAAGAAGATTGAGAGGACGTTTGATTTGAGGTGTACAAAATCACGACAGGTCCAAACAGAGCAGACAGGGAGAAACCATTCCCATTGGTGGAAATCTTGAGAACTAGAGGTGAAAGATTTAAAGTAATTGATGAATGAACACCGAAGACCCAGCTTGAGAGAGTTAGGGGTTAGGATGTGGAATTCACTGCCCGAGAGTGTGGAGGGCCAAGTGAAATCTTCGAAAGGATCACTATTCAGTGACATTAGGTGAATTGCTCCTTGGGAGAGCCAGCACAGACACGGCAGGCTGAGTGGTCTCATCATGAGCTGCAATCAGCCTGTGGTGACTATTGGAAAAGTGAGAGGAGGCGTGAAGGTGCCACACTCGAATAGCCCTGACAATAGTCGCTCTTTGGGGTTGAAGCTACTGGAGTGAGACACAGAGGGGTAGACAATACCTGCTGAATCTCTGTGACAGCAGTGAGGACGAGGGACAGAAAGATATATGAGGTACATTCAATCCAGGTCATTCACACTGAGCATCAATAGCCCCCATTCACCAGCAAGGAGGCAAAACAAACCCCCACCCTCCCCAACTTCAAAAGGGACAGAGGGTCACAGCTTTAAAGGAAGTCTATATTGTGCTCGTTCATCGCCAGAGAGAAAGCACTAATCTGATCACCTGTTTTTGCTATGCTAATAAATGGAGAAATGTGCCTCACTTAATAAAGTGCAGATTAAATATCACAGAACTTCCATTAGCACAGAGCAAAGTGCTCTTCCATTCTCTGTTGGTGTGTTCTCAAAGGAACATCAGAATAATAAATCAATGTAGGAGTCTCAAAGGTACTGAATGAATTACCATGGAAACCTTGCTCAGCTGTAACGCTTTTGCCATTACAGCCCTTGCTTTGAATGTCTTTCCTGCACCAGGTCTAATCTCAGCCACAAACTGGATAATGATTGCAGTTCGCCAGAGCTGAGTAGATCCACTACCATCCACTTACTGTTTCAACTGAAATCAATCAAGTGGTCAATTCACTCACACCTTCTGTGTACCCCCGTCAAAACCAAATTTCACCCTCCGTCTCCCTCTAATACACTTCCAGTGTCCCCAGTCTCTAGTATAAATAGGACACATTATTCTCTACAATATAGAAAAGGTAGCCTAGACTCTATTATAAAACAAGGTTTACTATTATCAATAATTTGTGAAGTGTCCTAAACTTGACATCAGTGCACACACACACACGTTCTGCATACACTCATAAGAACACTATTTTAGAGACACAGACACAATCATAAAGATTGCACACACAATCTGTCACACACGTCCTGTTTCAGTGCAAAAGGTAAGGCCAAAGCATTTGCAGTAATCTTCAGCCAGAAGTGCCGAGTGGATGATCCATTTCGGCCTCTTCCGGTGGTCCCCAGTATCGCAGTCTTCAGCCAATTCGATTTGCTCCACATGGTATCCCAAGACAGTTGGAGGCACTGGATACTGCAAAGGCTATGGGCCCTGACAACATTCCGGCAATAGTACTGGAGACTTGTGCTCCAGAACTTGCCGCTCCCCTAGCCAACTGACGATAACCAACGACCTGTCCTTGACCTCCCACGTGATGCGATGGTCAAGAAGGCACAACAACACTTCTTCCTCGGGTGGCTCAGGAAATTTCGAATGTCCATAAGGTCCTTCACCAACTTCTACAGATGGACCATTGAAAGCATACTGTCCGGGTGCATAACGGCCTGGTATGGCAACTGCTCTGCCCAGGGCCATAAGAAACTACAGAAGGTGGTGTGCACAGCCCAGACCATCACAGAAGCCAACCTTCCATCCATGGACTCTATTTACACAGCTCGCTGCCGCAGAAAGGCAGCCAACATCATCAAAGACCCATTGCACCCTGATAATGATATCCTACAGTCTCTTCAATCAGGCAGAAGCCTGAACACACGCACAAACAGGTTCAGGAACAGTTTCTTTCCGGCTGTAATCAGACTGTAGCCTCAAATGTAACTTGCAGTGTAACCTGTATGTCTCTTAAGTCTTTTTGATCTGTACATCCTTTGCTTCTGTGATCTGCCTGTACCGCTCATAAACAAGCTTTTCACTGTATTTCGGTACACGTGACAATAAATCAATCAATCAATTACAACATTGGCATCTATCCGACAATGTGGAAAATTGCCCAGGTAGGTCCTGTGCACAAAAAGCAGGACAAATCCATCTCAGCCAATTACTGTTCATCCCTGATTGCCCAGAGGGCAGTTAAGAGTCAAATGCATTGCTGTGGGTCTGGAGTCACAGATAGGCCAGACCAGCTAAGATGGTTGTTTCCTTCCCTAAAGGGCATTAATGAACCAGATGGGCTTTTCCTGACAATCCAGAATGGTTTCACGGTCATCATTAGATTCTCAATTCCAGAATTTTTTTATGGAATTCAAATTCCACCATCCGCTGTGTTGGGATTTGAACCCAGGTCTCCTGAACATTATCTGGGTCTCTAGATTAACAGTGCATCAATAATACCACTAGGCCATCACCTCCCTGTGAGGCCCAGTGAAGCCCAGCTAGGGTTCTGCCAGGGACAAAAGAGCTGAATTCCTGAGGTGAGAGTCACAACCCTTGACATCGAAGCCACATTCGACTAAGTATGGCATCAAGGAGCCCCAGTAAAACCAGAATCAATGGGTATCAGGGGCAAACTGTCTGGTGGTTGGAGTCATATCTGGCACATAGGAAAATGGTCGTGGCTGTTGGAGGTCAGTCATCTTCAGCTCACATCATCTCTGCAGGAGTTCCTCAGGGCAGTGTCCTAGATCCAACCATCTTCAGCTGCTTCATCAATGACCTTCCCTCCATCATAAGGTCAGAAGTGGGGATGTTTGCTGATGATTGCACAATGTTCAGCACCATTCGTGACTCCTCAGATACTGAAGCAGTCTGTGTTCACATGTAACAAGATCTGGACAATATCCAGGCTTGGGCTGACAAGTGGCAAGTAACATTCTTGCCACACAAATGCCAGGCTATGACCATCACTAATAAGAGACAATCTAACCACCGCCCCTTGACATTCAATGGTGTTACCATCACTGAATCCCCCACTATCAACATCCTGGGGGTTACCATTGACCAGAAACTCAACTGGACTCACCACATTAACACAGCAGCTACAAAAGCAGGTCAGAAGCTGGGAATACTGCAGCGAGTAACTCACCTCCTGACTCCTCAAAGCCTGTCCACCATCTACAAGGCACAAGTCAGGAATGTGATGGAATACACCCCACTTGCCTGGATGGGTGCAGCCCCAACAACACTCAGGAATCTTGACATGATCCAAGACAGAGCAGCCTCTTGATTGGCACCACATCCACAAACATCCACTCCCTCCACCACCGACACTCAGTAGCAGCAATGTGTACTGTCTACAAAATGCACTGCAGAAATTCACCAAAGATCCTCAGACAGCACCTTCCAAACCCACGACCACTTCCATCGAGAAGGACAAGGGCAGCAGATATATGGGAACACCACCACCTCCAAGTTCCCCTCCAAGCCACTCGCCATCCTGACTTGGGAATATATGCTGTTCTTTCACTGTCACTGGGTCAAAATCCTGGGATTCCCTCCCTCAGGGTGTTATGGGTCAATCCACTGCAGGTGAACTGCAGTGTTTCAAGAAAGCAGATTACTGACATCTTCTAAGGGCAACTAGAGATGGACAAGAAATGCTGGACTCACACGCCCCACTAGTGAGTTAAAAAAAAATTCATAAGTACAGCATTTTACTTACACACACATACACATACGCGCGCACAAAATCTTAAAGCAGCCACAAACCATGTCTCTCACACAGTGTCTCACACATTCATAAGTACACTGTCTCTATCTCTCTCTCTCCCTCTTTCTCGCTCTCTCTCACACACACACACACAAATTTTATATCTCAATCTCTGAGCCACAAGTCCTGCGTTGATGGTGCCACTTGCTCCAGTGATGCGTAATAACATGTCTGAACAGTTCACTTTTTCAAAAGAAGACACAGGTCAAAACTATGTTGTAAATATGTATAAGGTTTCAGGCTGTAATGGTACACTGGTCATGTTCCCACCCCTAGGTCTGCGCTGATAATCCCAGCTGCTCCAGAGCAATGTCTGACCGGATTATTATAAAAAAACCCAAACAGAAAGATTTTGCCACCTGCTGGTGGAAATCAGAGCAGAAACATTGAGATAGTAAGAACTGCAGATGCTGGAGTCAGAGATAACACAGTGTGGAGCTGGAGGAACACAGCAGGCCAGGCAGCATCAGAGGAACCGGAAAGCTGACGTTTCAGGTCGGGACCCTTCTTCAGAAAATTTTCAGAAGGGTCCTGATCCGAAACGTCAGCTTTCCTGTTCCTCTGATGCT